AAAAAGCCCTGAGGGCACATTGCATGGAATGCCACCAAATTCCTGATGAAGAACATGAAGGAAACGCTTCATTAACAAGACGATGAGTATGTTAATGATGTCAACACTTATTCAAACTGCAAATTAGGGCAGTGTGAACTTAATATATGTTTGAGCTGTTTTTCTGTTGAGAAAAGTTCCTGAGCTCTTACATAACCCTCCTTTGCTTCTAAAATAAAGGTCACATGCATTGAGACTTAGCGGGTCCTAAACTCAAGTCTCCATTCTTGATAAGATTTATAGTTAAGATTTATGTTATCTCCAAAACTGTACTGAGAAACCAGAAGTACTATTTTGCCACATATAGCGTGCTTTGCAATTAAGGAGCTAGAATCCATAATGATTAGAGGATCATTTAACCTTTGACTCTTAGTGCCTTGTAGGTATGACTGTTTTTTTTTTCAAGGTCAAAATGAAGAAATAGGTAGTTAGTTTCAGAGTATTATATCTAGTAAAATGCATATGATACAGATTGCATTTGACATAGCTGAAGCGAATCACAGTAACCAAAAACCACACTCACTCTGTTGAGTCGATTCCGACTTGTGCTTGTAGCGATGCTGTAGGACCGAGCAAAGCTGCACAGATGCTCCGAATCAGAGACAGACTCTCACCTTTCTCATGTGCAGTGGCCCTTGGGCTTGAACTGCTAACCCTTTAGTTAGCAGCTCAACACTTCGCCCGCTGTGCCATCAGGACTCCTGATTATAGTAAACAAGGCCTAAATTTCCAAAATAATAATTGAACTCATTGTGCTAATTAATGTATTACATAAGTAAATATTCCCTCAAAACTAATGGAGGGAGAATATAAAATTGCTTGAATGTTTCTAGAATATTTTACAGGGGAGTGTGTAAAGGCTAATTTCTGTAGCTATAGATATTAAAATAACTTAAAAAAATTATGACATAACAAAAAAAATGAAAGTTTGGAATTTTTCTAAAAATAATTTACATATACTTTTTACTTAAACCACGATGATTTCCCTGGCCAAATGGTGTCTCACTGTGTCAGATAGCTGGGGGCCTAAGTTTCAGGAATGGCCTGAGTTTTTAGTCTCAGATGTCATCCAGCTCTGCTGCTTTATGGCTTGCTGTAAACACCCGAAAACTAGGCAGGCTTAGTGCACCTGCGAGTCATATCGCCTATAATGGCAGTGGGATATATTTTTTAAACTAGGTCTTAAGACATCCATTTTGGAAAACAGTAATTTTGAAATGTTGTGTGCAAAATAAAATTTTGTGAATATTTTAGACATACACTTTTTTGTTAATTTTTCCAAGCAGTACAATCTGAACTTCTAGACCTGGCCTAGTCAAGTGGCCAAATTTGAAAGGTTAGCACATTAAAAAAATTAATATACAATAATATTAGCAGAGTTTTGTCTAGATCATTAAAACTGAAGCCCCCCCCCCAAGTGCGTTTTGTTCAGCTGTCCATATTGGTACAAAACAAGTTAGCAATTTGACTTTAGTGGTCAATTAATATTTGTAACAGCAAGATTCTGCCACAGAGGTTAGATGCACATAGTATATGAAAATAGATATTATTATTTTTTTAAAGGTCAATTTTCTTGGCCTATAGCATTTTCTGAATTGGTGCTATCTTCAGCATGCTGCTTGATAACTAACCATATTTGGGAGACAATGAGAAGCTTTGATTCCTAGCAACTCTGTAGTGGTACCGAGCAGAATTGCCCCACGGAGTTTCCAAGGCTTTAGTTTGTACAAAGCAGATCATCCTGCCCTTGTCCCCCAGGCTGACTCATCCCACAGAGTGTCTGGTCCAGGCGATGAACAGCCGACAGGCCACTCATCCCACAGAGTGTCTGGTCCAGG